AATGTTGTCAAGAAACAGCCAACCTCCCATGTCTATAGCATGCTAAGAAACTCAAGACTAAATTATGGAATATAGCAGAATCAGACATTACTATAGATTTGTTAAGGCTCTTAAATCTACATTGATAGTGGAATTTAAGTTGTTTTGCAAGGGAGGGACATCTTAAACAGATTATATTAACTGATGCAGAATTGTGCAATTCAGTTAGGTATAGGGGGGGGGGGGAGAAATAGGGGAGGGCACTTGCTTTACAATATACTATCGTTCTGAAATCTTGAGTCCAACAAATAAGCCATTACAGGTATTGAAGAGTAACTTTTCAACCTCAAGTGTTTTTACAAAATTGGGATCGTAGTTATACTGCTAAACCCATAATCTGGCATGTTGGAACATGTTGTGCACATTTTTTTTATGGTAATAGGAAGCCTTGGCATAAGAATTGCTCAACATACTGTTTTCGGTTGCTTCTTGCTCATTGTGAAAGACAACGGGGATTTCTCTAACACTTGGGGCTTATTAAATGTTTTAAGATTTATTTATTCCATTCCCAATATACAGATCAATGGCAGTTATATAAATGTCATATATATATATCTGCAATACTCATGACCTCACTATTATTACCTGGTAATTTTCTGCCCTACCAAATGGAAATAATGGGATTTTGAAATGCTACATTTGTAGATCATAATTTAAAACATTTAACAAATTTATTTAATTTAAACTGTACAGATTTGTAAATGCTTCTGATGCTTTTTAAAATGACTTTTGCTTAATAGATCACTAAGTCATACAATGGGATAAAAATATTTGGGTCTAGATTACATAATTAACACAATATAAAAATAGATAAGAATACATGACAAGGTTTATGCAAGTGATCATGTACCACTGATAAAATATCCCAAGCATTTGTGTTTTTTTCCTCCTGTTTAAAGGAGGAAAATAAAGCTGGTTTACAGTGCACACTATCTTTGAAAAATAAACTAGAAAATTAAACGTCTTAGTGACATTTTGGTCATTTTTATTTAAAAGAAGACCTGAATCCAAAAACATTTTTTACAGAAGAACATGATAGTTTTTCACAGACATCTCCAGTCTTTATCTATCTACATGGTTACTACTTCCTTGTGGTATTTAAATAGCCTTATTTAATGTGATATGTTCTAGATGTATTGGGAGTGTACTTCCTCAAATATCTGGCTAACGTAAATTCCAAAGTAGTAGAACACATGCTAGTAGTGTGACTGTGATTACTTAAAACAAGAGAATCCCCATCCATATAGCTATGAATATTCTTCTAAAATATTATATATTACAGGGGTGACCAACCTTGGCAACTTTTAAGAACTTTGGACCAACTCCCAGAATAGCAATAGCATTTAGACTTATATACCACTCCACAGTGCTTTACAGCCCTCTCTAAGCTGTTTACAAGTCAGCATATTGTCCCCAACAATCTGGGCCCTCATTTTCCCGATCTTGGAAGGATAGAAGGCTGAGTCAGAATTGAGCTGGCAAGAATTGAACTGCCGAACTGCTGGCAGCTGGCAGTCAGCAGAATTAGCCTGCAGTATTCATTCTAACCACTGTGCCACCATGACTCTTAATTCCCATGGCATGGCTAGATGTGAAATTCTGGGAGTTGAAGTCCACGGGTCTTAAAGTTGCTTTGGCTGGGCACTCCTGATCTATTATATTTGCACAGAATTCATTCCCACCCCAAATCCGATGGGCACTTAATCCCCCAAAACTATTTAAAAGTGACTGGTGAACAGGTGCACAGATGTTCTCCTTCCCTACATGGTTTCTCTTTTTAGTTCCAAAAACTTTTGTTTTTATAGAAACATACAGAATAAACAAAAATAAGTACTAGAGAATAACAATTGCTTTTTAAAGAAAGGCAGGAAAACTTTGGTAGTTAAGACAGAAACATTTTTATTTCTTGGGGAAATGTGCATTTGATGACCTACAAGTGGGCCCCCTTCTCAGTCAGTGTCATCAAGGGCCACTTAACATATTTGCAAAGTTTTGCAACGCATACTGCATGTAGACCTCCAAATGCACAGCAAATGTTCAGATTAAATTTTTTTTACTTAGGGAAGAGGGTCAAGATGAAGCTCTGCACTTGTTCATTGGGCCAGAAGCAGTAAAATGTCAGACCTTTGTGTGAATGTTTGTTTCCTCTTTGCAATTCATCTTTAGTTGCCTTCAGGTGAGTGTGCCTGTTTTGAGGTACCAACCCCGCCCCCTCAAGTTCCAGAAGCTTGTGCAATTTTTTAACAGCTGCAACAGTTAACAACCCTATCTGATCTTCAGGAAACTGACCACAAAGTTGAAGCGGAAAAGTAAAACTTTTTTCCTAAGCCCAAAGGAAAACGAGCCCCAAACTTGGCAGAAAGGAAGCAGCATTAAAAATAAATAAATAAATGCAGTAACCTCTACCAACAGTCAGCAAGAGCTCAAAACTCTCCATAAAAGGAAGAAGCCACCATTTTTATTTTCAATTTTGCTATCACCTTCTCCTTTCCTCCATTTCTGTGTGATGAAGCCAGTGTTTTCTTATGCCCTTCTCTCTCTCAAAAAAAATTACTGGCTGATAGTATAACTTCCACTTCCTGGTGAATAAACCCGGTAGATCCATCATTTCTCAGGCAATTAACAATGGACAGGAATGCAGAGTTCACAGGCATTGGGCAACAGGGTGTCTGATTAGACTGTAATTTCAGATTGCAGAGGGGTGCTCCCAGTGTGTAAATCTTCCGCCCTCTAAATAACTCCGTCTACGGAAAGCTAGTTGTTAAACTCGTTTTCCAACAAACCAGCTTTCTAAATCGTCGGTGCTTGTATAGAGATGCATTCAGACGTGAACATCAGCAAAGCCTCCGCACTACTTCCTCCAGATCTCAATCTGCTTATTCAGACTCTCATCCTAGTCAATTTTCATTAAACCAGAGGACTAAATGAGGAGGTTCAATTGAATATGCCTTACAGGTCAGTTCAGAATCAAAACAGAGGCTATAGCTGATCCTCACAACTGGCTTACTTACTGGTGGAGGCAGATGGGGTAAGGCGACCTCATTCCTGTCTCGTCCATCTCTTAACTCTTTCAGTTGTGGTTTTCGTACAGTTTTTAATAACATTTTAATTTGTGTAGCTCTAATGTTTTAATTTTACCTCTTTTACAACTTGGGAAACACCCGGAGTCACTTTGTAGGAGAGATGAACGGCATAAACATTTAATTAATAAATAAACAAATAAATAAATAAATGATAATCTCTTCTGGCAACTTTTCAAACCAACGAAAAGACCCCATCGGCCCTTTCAGAATGGACACATCAGTAATGAATTTCATCCTACATCTTGCAGTAATTTAGAATTAGAATAGAGTTGGAAGGAACCTTGGAGGTCTTCTAGTCCAGCCCCTACTTAAGCAGGAGAACCTATACAATCTCGGACAAGTGACTAAAAACCTCCAGTGATGGAGCGCCCACAATTTCTGGAGGCAAGCTATTCTACTGGCTAATTGTCCTCACTGTTATGAAGTTCCTCTTTAATTCCAGGTTGCTTCTCTCTTTCAAATGATTTCTTTCAAAGGACTCCTCTGAACAATACCACAGCATTGTTTTTCTCACGCCAAAAGATTATGTAAAGTTACTTTCTACCCGTTAGGATGCTGGTTTTTATTCCTTGTTCACTTCACTTCTCCAACTCTTTCCAAAAACTGCTTTCCCCAACTTCCAAACGTTGCAGAGGCATTATCTTCACCTCCCATCTTTTAACCATCTCTTGCCCTGCAATGTTTTAAATATAACTGTGAAGTATATGTCTTCAGATGCTTAAAACATATGAGACAGACCTCTGGCAAAGGAACATGTAGACACCCTTCCTGTGAGAAAGGAAGCACCAAAATTTCTCAGGCAAATATTTCACATGTAGTTGCTTGCAACTGTTATTTGTTATGGTCTTATGTGGAGAGCAACTTGTAAGACTGCATTCATGTTTAATGAGCAACTTGTAGGACTGCATTCATGCTTTAATGTCTAAAGATGAAATTAAAGGTTTGTCCCTCGTTCATTCTGATGCTGCATTGAAACAGGACTAGACCCCTTCAAATTTAAATTTAGGAACTGATAAAAGGTGTGTATTACAAGGAATGTACATGTATTGAACCAAGTGTGCAAACAAAACCATTGTAATACGGGTATATCAATAGGATTGTATCAATTGTAACTAGGATTAATATAAACATCAATAGGTATTTCAAACATTACTGAAGAGACAGATGTAGCTTGTTTTTGTCAACAATATATTGAATGCAAATTGTTTTCTTTTAAGGGCTTGGTAGTTTGATTGAAAAACAGCTCAGAAAAAGGGACAATTACCTGTGATATCAAAACTTTAGGACAAGTGACTTGTAGTTGCAGACATTTATCTTTCTAAAACTATCCTGATAATATACCATTAAGCCATTAAGTTAATAATGCCTGCATTTTACTAAATGCCTATACTGCCATCATGATTTTTTAAAAGAATCTGGATATTTCTCACCGGCAGATGGCTAGAAATGATCCCACAACTACAAAATTAAAGGCTGAAACAGAAGTTAAGATACCAAACTCTCCTCGATAAACTCTTATTAGTCACACGCTAGGATGATGTTCTTGCGTAAGATATCCCCTATTTGAGCTATGTAAAGTGATGGAAGATATCCATTTTTGGAACAAACTCAGCAGCTCTTCCTAGTACCCTTATATAAGAGGTACCTATATTGATAATGTATGATCTCCAAAGCTTACTCAACTCTCTTCAGTTCTAACCAGCAGGGCTAAAAGCAACAGCTAATAAAAACTATATAGACAGAGATTTCAAGTCTAGCGCAACGAACACATAAGAATGAAACTTTAAGGATAAACACATGGGTTGATTGACACAGCAGTTGGAAAGGATCCACGAGGGCACAGAAGGCAATAAAAAAAAAGTTTATTTCTATAAATAGTTCCTTAAAGCCACCATGAAGGAACAGCTTATACATCAAAATGACTTCCACTGAATCGGTGCTGCTACTTTTAAATAACAGGATAGCTATTTGAGCAAAACCTTTGTTAATGCACTTAGATGAATGCATAAACTTTTGGCTATATTGAAACATAGATACATTAGGCAGATCCAGGGAGGCTGTAAGGACTTCTATCAAATGCATAGCAAGGGCACTGCATTTTGAATTCTAGCTACTGGGCTGTATACTTCTGTAAGCAGACTGCACCGGCTTGTAGGCCCACATGTCGGCTTGATTAGAAATGTTCTTGTACACCCTAAATGTTCACCCAAATCTACAGTAAAAACATCGATGCTTCTTCCTTGTGAAATACGAAACTATACGGACACTTCCTTGTGTAGGCAATTACTCTTTGATAAAAGCAACTTGTATGGCATACTATGTGTACACACACAAATAGACAGTGTTTACAGACTGATGCCGTCACTGATGCATTTTGACAAAATCTATGTCTCATTTGAATCCTTCATTTCCCACCACATGTAAAAAACATCCTTTGGAGGGTGAGCCAGAGTTCTAAATTAAAGTACACCGGCTATTTACCAAGCTGCCATTCTTTTACCTTAAATAATTAGATAAGCAATTCAACAGCCAAGAACCCTCTTCCAAGGCAGACTGTCAAAAAGATAAGCAATCTTACTAACTACGGAAACATTAGAGAGAATAAGGCCTTAAGAAATTTAATGAAATATTTCTCTTTAATAAAATCTTGATCCTAAACTAAATTTTGTGCTGACTCCCAACCGAAACACACTAAGCAGTTCTTTTCATGTTGCCTAATTATTGGAAGAGCTAGAATCAATAAAACCATACCCTTTCGGCTTCTGGAAAACTACAATGGTGCTCAGAGAATCCAGTGCCCAACAGAAAAATCAAAACATTTACTCACCCTCACCAATGTACTCCAATATTGAGATCTTTGATAAAGATGACTGTAAGTCACCTGGTCTTTGATAGACTGTCCTCCTGCAGTATCTGTAGATGTACCAAATGACTTGGTTGAACTGTAAACCTGTTCTTGGCTTTCTAAACAATTGTCTTAAATCAGTGTTCTGGAAGCAGCTATTTTAATATTAGCTGACATATCTGTCTCTAGAAACAGTGTGCAGATTTCTAAACAGTGGAAACAATTACATCCAGCAGAAATAAGGGTGAACAAGAAACAATCTTGGACAACCCAGAAGATTATGCTTAAACCAGAAACTTTGAAGACTTGTTAAATTCAAAATGCATTTAGAAAAGGAATTTTGCAGCTTGTCTCTAGGTGAGTCCTTTTCCATTTCTGCATTTGTTCCTCTGCTTATTTTCTGTACTTGGTAGAAGTTTTGGAACTATTGAGTTCAGCTCCAAAACTGTGATATCAATTGAGGTTACACAGGAGTGTTTTTTTTTTTTGTTTAAATCTGGCTATAAGATTACTCATTGTTTTCTTAGTAGTCAGCTGCACCTACTCCAGACATAAACTGTATGGCATCTTTGTCAGCCCAGGGCCTATAAGACAATATTATTATTCACTTCCTGACAGTGAAAAATACCCAGGCAAAAGTTAAAGAAAATCTGGTTCACAGACTTTGTGGCTCCTTTCCTTAGAAAATTACATTTAATGACATGGGAACTGACACGGTTGCAGAACTGGTCGACTGTAACAGATCAATAGGCTGAAGACTGAATTTACAGGCTGGAGACTCTTAACAGATAAACTTCTGAACAGGGACAAGCAACACCAGTTTACGCAGAAAAACAAGAAAAAGGAAAAGTTATAGTGTTAAAACTTGGAGGTATTATATTTACTCAGAGAAGTCCTATCGTTAATTCTCAAAGAATGCAGCTTTAGCATCAGTGTGAAGGTCAGTCAGCAGACATGATTGAAACTGATGTGCGGAGAACTGTGGATTTGTGAACATACATTCAGGATAGCCGAGGCAAGCAGCGGATGGCTTATAGTGTCCAAATGTAACGTACAACTGTAACCATATGCAACAGAGTTTAAATCAGTCACAATACACAACAGTGAAAGTACTCTGCAATCTGAAAAGATCTGTAAACCAAGGCTTTATAGTCAATTACGCTCAGCTAGAGCTAACTCCAGCAGAGTTTTCTTCCCCCCTATAACTTAACCCTCAAAATGCTATACGGTGTGGGAACGGCACACTCAGCAGCTTGCTTTGTTGGAGCCCTGAAGCAAAGAGCACAATTCCGCACAGGTTTGGGTCTCTACGGAACTGAACTGTGACTCCATCGTATTCCAGGCCAAGTCAGCCAAAAGGAAATCATCCATAACGGTCTGAGTCTCGTTGCTGGTGAGAAATAAACTGCCCAGAGTATCAAGACAGCTGTCTATGGTCTGTGTCTCAGCACTGTTCAGCTGGACTTTGCTGTCTGACATATGATCGGAGATCACGCTGTCAGGACACCTCATTTCTGTTTGGGTTTCTGTATTGGAAGAGTCTGCACTCATCAGAAAAGCAGAGGGCTTCAAAATGTTCCCCAGAGGCAGGTAGGGAGTGTCCAGGAAGAAATTTAAGTCTGTCTGGGTCTGTGTATCGAACATTTCTAAGCCTAAGAAATTAGAATTGCCTCGAGAGGTATAAGATTGGGAAGTGTGGTCTGAAAATAAATCTGTCTGGGTTTCAATGTCTAAGGACTCCAAGGCCGGTACGGAGTTCAAGTTGCCCAACTCGGCCTCTTCGGTTTGAGTTTGGATATTGGAGGCCGTAAAGAATTCCTCAATGTCAAAATCTATTCCAGCGTTCTGGGTAGAGACGGTGCTTAAGGGAAGGCCAGGGTGGCCCGTGGAGTTATTTGAAAAAATGGTTTCCAGGTCATTCAGTAGCTCCATGGTTTGCGTCTGATTGTCTGTCATAATTTGCTGGGGAAGAATACCGTTTGTTGGTGAGTTGAAGCTGATCATTGGCTCACACTTTGTATCCGGGCTCAAAGTTTTGCAGTTTCCTTGAGGTAGCATATTCTGATCCAGGTTGGTTGCCATCAAGGGACCCCCAGGATGAGTCATGGGGTTGGAATCGGTAAATGAGGAATGGACGCTGTTGAAAAGACTGCTGCATGTGACAGCCTGGTCCACGTGCACGTTCCCGTCGAGACCTTTTTGTGACTTGCTGGTCTGAGTCTCCCGAGAAATCCCGCAGGGTTGAAAGCAAGCTTGAGCGAGCACATCCGTCTGAGCAGCTATGGAGGAAGTCAGCTTGGAGCTGGGCAACAGGGTTTGTGTCTCTACGCTAACCGGAAGCAACGCCTGGGAGCTGAAAGTCAGGTCTGTCTGAGAACAAGAGGACACTGAGGAATCAGGAGGCCAAGCTGCAGAAGGCACAAAGTTCTGGGAAAAGTAAGACAGGTCAGTTTGAACGTTGGTGGAACTGATTCCATTTTTATAGCACAGAGCTTCTAGATCCTGGACTGGATTATGGGGGGCGGCTTTGCCTAAATTCACCTGGATGCCTGTACTCACCGGCTTAGTACCATTGGGAGTTTTGGTTCTGGAAAGGGCTGGTGGGGGTTTCAATGCAAGGGCTTCAGTCTCCACGGTGGGTATCATAATTCCGACTGGCACAGACATTAAGTGAACAGTACTCATCACAGAACCCTTCTCATCCACAGTCACCACAACGGGCTTCACAGAAGAGTTCGGCGCTGGCACCAAGATAGGCAACTGAGTCAGCTGCATGACAGGGAGCTTAACCAAACCCACTTTCGGCTTAGGCAAGAGAAACTTTGGGGCATTTCTGGGCTGTGCTTGCGTTGGCTGAACACAATAAAAGTGGCTGGGATCTTCAGAGGAAGCGGTCGACTTGATCTCAGAGGTCTCCAAATCCTCAGCGCTGGCACATCTGCTGTGGATGTTGGCGGATGTCCTGTCCGTTGTTTTTTCTTCCAATGGGCAGGTAGACAGGGAAATTTCAGTTTTCCTTTTCTTGCTAGGCGGATCCCTGTAAACATTAATAAATCATTAGAAATGTGGCAGCAGTGTCTCCCCACTGCTCCCAATTCGAGAAAAGAACTTCAGGAAAATGAAAGCATATAATCCCGTGATGACAAACCTATGGCACGCGTGCCACAAGTGGCACGTAGAGCCATTTGTGCTGGCATGCGAGCCGCAGGCAAACTTACCTCACTGTGCAGGCACACGCCTCACAGCTGATTTTTTTTTTCCTGGTTGGTTTCAGGCCTTTTTCAACTTCCCAGAGGCTTGGAAAAAGTCTCTGAAAGTCTTCTCAGGCCTAATTATAGGCCTGTTTTATCACTTCCTGTAATACCGGAAGTGATGAAACAGGCCTATAATTCGGCCTGAGAAGCCTTGCAGAGGCTTTTTCCAAGCCTCTGGGAAGTCGAAAAAGGCCTCAAACCAACAGAAAAATCAGCTGTGAGGTGCAGTGAAGGTAAGGGGGCGGTTGCATGCAAATGCGCATGGGGAGGGAGCGCATGCATTGCATTCTGGATGCTGGCACACGAGTGCGGGCGCACTGGCAATTTTTGGCACAGGAGCCCCAAAAGGTTAGCCACCGATATAGTCCACTGCTTTAATAGTATGCGGAATGAACTTAGGACACAGAGAGAAAAGCCAGAGTAACAGGGACGTCTCAGAAAGGATCTTCCTTAGTTTCTTGGTTGGTGACAGGGGAGAAATGAACTTTCAGACGTGCCAGATTCTGTTAACGTAACCTTACAATGAAGTATAAGAGGCTCATCTGGGTATGTTTCCTGTCTAGATTATCTCACAAGGTTGACATCAATCCTGCAAGTCCGAAAGTACAGGTAGTTCTCCACTTACGACCTCAACTGAACTAAAATTTTATGTTGCTAAGTGAGACAGTTAAGTTAGTTTTGCCCCATTTTATGACCTTTCATGTCACAGCAGTTTAAGTGGATCGCTGCAGTTGTTAAGTTAGAAACACGGTTGTTAAGTGAACCTGGCTTCATTGACTTTGCTTGTCTGAAGGTAATCATGTTGCCAGGACACTGCAGCCGTTATAAATATGAGCCAGTTGCGAAGTAGTTGAATTTTGATTGTGTGACCATGGAGGTGCTGCAACAGTCATAAATATGAAAAACGGTTGTCAGTCACTTTTTTCAGGGCTGTTGTAACTTCAGTCACTAAATGAATGGTTGTAAGTTGAGGACTACCTGTACCTTTCCCCCCCCCATCATGTTCACAGTTTAAAAAACCAGGAGGATTTCTTTCTATTTGCCACGGCCTTTAATAACTAAATTTCATTTTGTGTGTCTTTCTGGCTGCCTCCTGAATTCCTTTCCACGTACCATGACAATCACTGCCTGAGGTTAAAGCCCACTGACAAAGAACAGAAGCACAAAAGATTTCCATTATAAAAATCATTGCCAGCTCACAACTTTTATTTCTAAAACGAAATGGGAAGGGGTTGAGATTAAGCATTATGCAATGGAGAAAGCACCAACTCATCCTTTTGTTCATGCTGATTGGCAGAGAAATAATGCAATTTCTCCTACTCAAAACTGTGACTCGATAATTGAATGAATAAGCATGACATTTTATTCATTCAATTTTATTTCTGTCTTTGGTTATGACCTTTTTTTTACTATCCATCTCATATCCAATGACTCTGGGCCATTACATACTCATCATTTACGAAATCAACTGCAGACCAGGAACATTAATGTAATACAATGTTTGTGCTGTGCTCTTCAACCCCATGTTCTCATTCATGCAACGTTCAAAAGCCCACGCTGCTAACTATTTGGATGAAATAAAGCAATGGCCGCATTTGCACTTCTAGGACATAGGAGAACAACACACAGCATTGTGAGCATTAGAAAATTTAAATATTTTGCTAGTGGGATGCATGGATGTAAGACCAAGAAAAATACAGAGTTATGAGCAATAATGAAACCAAGAGCAGAGAAGAGGAGCCCTTGCTGGCAGTTATCAACACCAAAACTCTCCCCTAACTTCTAACCCCTTCAAATTAATATGTACACGTGAAGGAGATCTTTGGAAAATACTGCCATACCTGTGTTCAACCGGGATCTCATGTTGTGTCCGATAAATATGAGATAACAATGCCGTCCTACTAGCATAGGGACACCCACAGGTACACTGGAAAGTCTTGCCACAGTCTGCAATATGGCGCTTCAAATCCCATATAGTGCCATACGAATTGGTACATTTATCGCATTTATGCTTCTTTTCAGCATGCATTTTCATGAAGTGCTGAAACAACCAAACGTTAGAGAAATTGTAGCGATGTGGAGAAGCAACTTAGAACCAATGAGATTATCAGTCACATCATTTTTTTTAGCATTCTCAAACTATTTGACTTTTTCCAGTTTTAGACTGAAATCTTTCTAAACGCTACCTGGAAGTGTTGAGAACTAAAAGTAGAGTTTACCAATCAGATGCCCCAACTTTGATTAGACCTATTTCCTAACAGGCATACTTGTTTACTATAGATAACTCTAATTCAGTGTTCATTTTGAATGATGCAGAACAGATACTTTAGGATGTAACAGTTTCACTTAAATGCCACAAGATAATTAAAATAGAAGAACAAAATTCTACTTGCGTTATTTAGGTTCAGGAAAACAAAGAAAAAATTGTAACTTATTTAACACAAAGTTCCCTCACTGTCACCCTGTAAGTTTAGATTTCAAAAGATGCTTCAGTTGAGAAAGTTCTCTTATTTCATGTTAATCCCACAGTAAGCACTTAATTTACAATTAGATCTTGCACTGGCATGCAGATTTGTTATACATACGAATATAATGCTTTCACATAAAAACTAATTCAGAAAAAATGCATAACTTTTTGAGATGACATTCCACCCATTGTAATTTCCATTAATTTATCTTTAAATAATGTAGTTATGTTTCATACCTGCCTTACGAGAGAAAACTGTGAAAATGGTCTTTCGGGTCCCCTAGGACAACCTTCAATTGGACAGCAGTAGTATTTCTGTGGCGTTTTCAGATCTTTCCTGATTGAAGGATATATTTTTCCATCCTGGAGTGGCACGCATTATTGAAAAGAAACACGTTTTAGAATTAAGAAGCAGATTTGGGGTTACAGGTAGTCCTTGACTTACAACAGTTTCATTTACTGACCCTTCAGTCACAACAGCACTGAAAAAAATGACTGCTATGACCGTTTTTCACACTTACGAAGGAGGAATTATTAATACTATGCTTAAATCCCAACTTTGAGAAAGACAATCCCTGCAGAGGAGGGGCTTGCAGTATAAATAAGGAAGCCTAATCTGCCAAAAGTTCTGAAGATGCCTCAAGAAATGTAATTTTTATGCTGCTGTTTGGAAACACATCACGTTATCATGAACCGTATGAACATTCAAGGCATCGTCCTTTTGATCCGTGCCCAACAAAGTAATTTTGTTAAGGGAAGCCTAAAACAAAATCAAAAATCAAAAAGCCAACAGTAGAAATAATTAATGGGACAGCCCTAAATAAATAAGTTAGCAAGAAAAAGCCCTGGAGGCAGTGTCAGAAGCATAATTCCCAAGTCAACAAAGGCTTTAATTTTTTTTCAACTGTTGCACGTTTTTGATTCTATTAATATTCTGAAGCAGCATGAAGTAATTACCAACCAGGAAAAAAAACCCAAGATGTCTCCTGTTACAATCCATTATTGTCCCAGTGGCATTCTTTAGCTGATTGAGACAGACTTTGTAGTGATCTACAGCAGGTGTCAAGGTGTTCCCTAAGAGTTCACTGGAGGAGGATGGGAAGCAGGCAGAGAAGCAGTTGCTGGAGTTGAATCCTTTTTTATTTTTGCAAATAAAAACCTCAGCAGTTAGAATACCCCCTTTTACGCATCTTATGACAACCATTCAGTTTCTTGCATGGTGAAAGTGGCCTCCCAAGAAACTCTCTGGACCTGGAAAGCTGAAGGAAGAAAGATTCTCCCTGACAGATCATTGGAGAAACAGATTTCTGAAAGAAAGCCCCAGATGTGTCTTCAAGACAACCTGTTAGAGCAGGGGTCTTCAAACTTGACAGCTTTAAGACTTGTGGACTTCCACTCCCAGAATTCCTCCTCCAGTCATGTTAGGTCAGGAATTCTGGGAGTGGAAGCCCACAAGTCTTAAATTGGCCAAGTTTGAACACCCTTGTATCAGAAGCAAGGAAAATTATCACCCAAAACAGCATTTCTTAAAGTGTGGTCCAAAGTCCACCTCAGGGATCCTCAAAATCAAAATGACTGGCCAGCCCACGTTGAAACCATACAGATAAGTCTTCGACTTACAAGTGTCCATTGAATGACCACTTGAAGCTACAACGGCACTGAAAAAAGTGAGCCATGACTGGTTTTCACACTGCAGCATCTGCATGGTCACGCTAGCAAAATTCAGATGCTTGGCAACGGGCTCATATTTATGACGGCTGCAGTGTCCTGTGGTCAAAAGACTGGACTGTCACCTGTCTGAAATGGTATATAGGGTCTCCTGCTTGATCAGGGGGGTTGGACTAGAAGACCTCCAAGGTCCCTCCTGGCTCTGATTGATTGAACCTTCTGAGAAGCCAAGTGAGGGGGGGGCAGTTGTTAATAAATAACTGCAGCAATTCACTAAACAACCGTGGTCGTAAAATGGAGGCAAAGCTCAGTTGGGCAACTGCCTTGCTTAGCAACAGAAGGTTTGGAACTCAGCTGTGGTCGTAAGTCGAGGACTACCTGCATTTAAAAATCCCCCTCAGATCACCATCATAAAGAGGCCGTGAGAGGATGCATCCATTTTCATCATAAAATACAAGGAACATTAACACGCAAGGACCCATACAAATATGCTGTAGGCTAAACAAATAAACAAACCCAAATAAACAGACCCATAGAAACACAAAGTCTTTTTTTGTGGGGGGGGGGGGGGGGGGGGGGGG